TAACAGGATGCAGCCAGAGTCTCAATAAATTAGTAGAGACACCCTGATTTCACTGGTACCTCAGGAAGTTATCAGACAGCCAAATATAAGACAAAGCCATCAGCATTTACCATCCCATTTACAACATGGGATGGGAAATTAATTAGGGTTAGGACATTAATTCAGACCTAACCCAGGTCTCCTATAAGAATCAATCCTTAGCTTGTTTTTCACCACCAAAAAGCTGTGCCTGTTCTCATAACCTTCTAACTCTGCCTAATTTCACTTACCCAAAAGGAAGTGGCATTGCATTCTTCTTGATGTGTTATGATTAATTTGTATGTATCTGACAACTATCTTACTAAAGATCCAATTCTCACAAAACAAACTGTCATTCCTGTCATATCCTCAATCACTAATGACTTTAAGACCGTTTATTTGTGCTCTGGCAGTTTCCCTTTTACTGCTGCCACAATCACAATATTGTTGGTAAACTGCTTCTTTTCTAGACACCACAGTTTAAGGGGGTAATTCTTATTGTTGATGTTTCTACCAGTTTACTCAAAGCAGGTTTTAATCAGGCAGGCACTCAGCAGTCTCCACCTCTTGGAATTCTAAGTGATGCATTTAAACAGTGGGAACAATTAGCAAATCTGTGAACAATTGAGGTCAAAGACAATCTGAAGAATAATGAAAAGTGCATTAGAGGGTTAGATTTTTGAACAATGATTGTAGTACTAAATATAGACCATAATCTGGGAGACCAAGGGCCAAAATGGTGAAGTGTAGAAAACATGGAAGTCAATACTAACTGTTCATATTATATGGGAAAAATGCACTGAATTTAAGACTGAAAATTAAAGCCCATTATCATAAGCAGTTTTCTATAAACTAGACTGTGACAGGCAGCTAAAGATAAAACACTGAAGCCAAGGCTACACGTATGACTTTGGCTATCATTCAGAGTCTTCTAAACACTTTGGAAAGACACCAAAGAGATCTGGCAGAGAGGCACAAAATGAATGTAATTTCTCCCTCTAACAAACCTCCATGTATGTACGATAAGATTTGTAGAATAAGATGTATAAATCCCTAGCGATTATTTAAGGATATAATTTAGTCTTGTAATTACTGTCGTCTCTTAACAGCTGTATGTTTAATTGATTGCAACGCTTCAGGGCTAGAACGATCTATCTTGGAGCTCCATCTACTGATTCAAAGGTGACACGACGTGTTATAAACCATCCCACAGCCTTCAGACAGAACTTGGCTCTGTTTCAAACCAAGGTAAATCCCACTGCAAGAAGAGCCAAATAAACAAGGCTGAGAACTGCTGGTGCATATAGGAGGGCAATAACAATGTTCTGCTTCATTGCTGCAGCTAACACGTTGTAGTTTGACAAGCATCAATCTCTAGTATCCCCTACTTGCAAATGCTCAGTTCTTAAACCTCCTGGTGCCACAGTTACACTTGTAAAGCTATTTTCCAGGCTTTGTAGTGAACACAGGGAACTAATTTAGAAAATTCCAACTTGTTTTAGTCCCATGTTCTGGGATGAAAGCAACCTTTTCCCAGGCTAGCACAGCCACCATCCCACCCCTCCACAAGATTGAGAAAAGCACTGCACAGACTAAGTACATTCAAATTGAAATAATGTATGTCATGTACTGTCAATGCATCTTTAGAGAATGAATACAAATAGATCCTCTTCCTATAAAAAGCCAAGTATATTTGCATAAGATTATACTTGGATAGTTCCACCATCACTTCACTAGGATGAAATGAGATACATCAGCCTAAAATCATTGTTCTTTGGTCCATTATTGGTCTCATAAAATATATTCAGCACTCTGTTTTAGAAAACAGAAGTCATGCAAGCCATCATCTTGAGTATTCAGCATGAAAAGCACTCAAAACAGATTTAATGCCAGCTCTCTTTAGAAAGAACTGAATTGTTATTTCCAATCATCTATACCAACTTGCTTACAGAGAGCCCAGGGAAAATTAAACGTGTATGAAGGTAACAGGGCATTGGGAAATAGACTGTAACTGAGATTTCAAAGTCTGGAAACTATGCAGACAGAACAAACACTTTCTGTAACAGCAGCTGTATGGAGACAGGCAAGTGACTGTGTATTTGTATTTGGGACTAAATTTATCTTATTGTTGCCCTATTCTTGACAAAGGATGGATGAGATGTGACTTGCATCTCCCTGACCTGGCATCTAGTTCTGATTAGAGAAGATTTGAGAGATGCTTTACTTTGCAGCTCAGTTGCTTGCACACCTACAGCTTTGCATGTAGCAAAATACCCAAATGTACTTAGTCTTTTGCCATCCTAAATGCAGCTCACAGTGTAAGACTGGTCTCCAGAAAGGAAGATGTACCACTGTGGTATAGAGGAAACAGCAGCAACACTTTGCTCCATAGCCTGGCATGCCCTGCTAGGCTACAGGTTTCATAAGGAATTCAGTGCAGGAGAATCTATGGGATTACTCTGGCTGTGCTAGCACTGCACACAGCCTGCTGGCAACAGAGAGAAAAAAGGGAAGCGTAGGGTCAAAAATACACCATTTTACCAACAAAGAGAAAGAATGCTACAGGCAAGTGCAGTTACAAATGACAGCAAAATGACCCCACCAGACATCATGTGCACTAACCTCTGTTCAAACTGGATTCTACTTAAAGAAGAATATAAGAATATTCAAAGAGGAAAACTAGGACATTAAAAGTCTCCTTTGGGGATTTGTCCATATAATAAAGCACAACAAAAATACTTCTGTAGGATTCTATTTCTATCCTGAGTTCCTTGCCACTTATTAATTAAAATCATACTGTCTGTTTCTACAAAGTCATCCGGGAACTCAAGCAAAACATACAGAGTAGACCCCATATAACTGAAAAGAAGTCTGAAAAATGTTTAGCTATGGAAAGCAATTTGCTGTCACTAGTGACGTTAACTAGATGATTTCCAACCATCTCAAGAACCCAATAAATCAAGAAGCCCTCAGGAATATGGACTATGAAACCAGGCCCATGTACACAGAGGCAGTAGTTTGTTCTGGACCTGGCTGCAATTCCTGAAACAGTGCTTTCAACTCTTTTTTTTTTCCAAATGTGTTGGACATTTACATTTTTCTTTATTAATATGCCTGATGTGATGGAAACCCTAAAAGCTTTGTTGATTTCACAGGTCACTGTGAACAGAACCAGCATTAGGACAAATTAATCACTGCAGCCTTTTGCTTCTCTTCATCCGTTTTGCTTTGCTTCTGCCCTTGTACATGGAACACCCACCTAATCCATAATATTCTGCTAATTAATGCTAGCCATGAACACTTTTATCCATATGAAGCCTTCCACCTGCCACTGTGACAAAAACAAACAGTAAATGCCTGGCATAAAGGAGTAAGATCTAGCAGAAACTCGCAACATTGTCTTGACAGAACTGTCCAGTTTAATTTGCATTTCTAGAAACAGCACTCTGTCGAAAAACACACCACCACCACCACCATCCCTCCCAAACCCATTCCATGCATTCTTTATCTAGATCCACCCGAAACACAGCAAACTTTTATTACAAGAGACACCATCGGCAGCACATTCGCTCCAACCAGGGAGGACTGTGGCTGGCAAACAAAATGTGTCAATGCCATGGACTAAAAGCTCTGCAGTGCCAGGCTAAGGAAGTCCTTCCCAAGGAAGGACTGCAGCGCAGACTGCTCTAGGAGGCCATTTTGAAGGGAATATAACCCCCAGGTTTAGCCCTCCTTTTTCTCCCACTCTCATTTTTATCCCTGAATTTTAGTCAGACCAAGCCACGGCAGCTACCATAGCAGCTACCACAGCTGCTGCCACAACTCCAGGTACTACACAGCAAGTGCTACGACAGTTCTTAGCTGCGGTGACACTCGCAATGGCAGAAGACCCACAAAAAAAACCCTCCCTAGTTAAAAAAACCTAACCTTTTCCTCAGCAATTTCTTCTCCTGAAGCCTGGTATCCTCCCAGCGCTGTCTGCTCCTCCTGCGTGCTGCCGCCCTGCACCATCTGCCAGGCTGGTGAGAGCGCTCCTCTTGCCGCCTCAGGGACAGCCATGCCATGCTTCAGCTGAGGCAGCACCTCTGTGAAGCATGGGCTCACGCTTCCTGTGTGGATCTCCAGCAATGGCAGCTGCTGGCACATGTGCTGTGGTGGCCCTTGGTGCTCATCTCTTGTCCTCGCTGCACAGGGCAGAGACACGAGGCCTAAACACAGGAGCGTGAATAATGGCTCCCCACCAAGCAATGCCCACTTTAGCTACTCCGCATTTTGGTGTTTTTTTTCCTATTTCTTCCTTTCTTCCTGGGCAATTTTCATCTCCAAGGGTGCCACACGCAGCTCTTCTCCCCAGCCGCAGCACTGTGCCTCAGTTTCCCCCGAGGCAGCCATGTTATTTTTCCCACCTCAGCCCCTTCACTGTGGTGCAGGGGTGGAGAGGGCCCTGCCATAGCACCATGACAGGCAGTATGCAAGGACCCCTGAGCAACCCCAAACCGCACACAAGTGAGAAAGCTGCCATGGAAATCTCCTTCACCTTGCCCAGAGGAACATACCAGCCCCTAGACATCACAGAGACTAAGCTGCGGGCTCGGGGGGTAGTGCTCTGTCATCAGCAAAATGGCTGCTGTGGGCAGGGAAGGCACACTGTGAGGGAAACTGGGGGGCACAGGGCAGCAGGCAGAGCTTTCTGCTGCTACAGTGCTGTTTTCTTTCAATGGAAATACTTTATTGGTTTAATCTAGGCTTTCATTGGTCAGACACAAAGAACAGTGGAGAGTGAGGGGACCCAGGCAGTGAAGCAGCAATACGAAAGGCAGGAGCTCTGCTTGCCCTAGGTGACTTTTGGGGCTCAATTTGAGGAGCCAAGTGCCCTCGTGGCTTCCTCCACAGCATTTTGACTGAAACTGAAGGGTATTGTGTGTCCCAGTTCCACGTTTACACAGAAATTGGCTTGTCTTTCACAAAATGCCACATTCAGGGTGTGCCTGGTATGTACAGTCAAGTCACTGGTACCTGAAAAGATTCAGTGAAGCACCAAAGTTTGAAACAAAATAGCTGAGTATATACTGAAGCCCTCCTTTTAAGTCCTCTGGGAAATCCAATTACGCTTTTAACAGTCATTATACATGCTTAAATATCTGTCCTGTTACATGTGTTACATATGCACACCATCTGCCTGCACATGAACATCTGTGAGCCAGGTTCTGGCCTGCTGGTAAAACACACTGGTATGATTCTTTTATGAGGTTTTTTCTTTGCTTTTGATTATGCTGATATCAATTTAGTGTAATTTCATTAAATTAAGGAGAGCTTTTGTGTTTGTTTTTTTTATTCTAGTGAAAAATCAGGGTGGACTTTTCTGCATTATGAGATGCATATCAACCAGTTCATCCTCACTGCTGCTTGGTTTAAGGCTGCCTAAATTGCATGTAGAAGCATCAACAGCACCAGGACTGGTACAAAGCACTTACATTGGTGGTTGCTCTATTTTGACACCAGGTAAGATACTCCAGAGGGGAGCTCTTTCTATTGTTACATGAATTGCTAAAATGCTTGTATTGTTCCACAGTTCCATGTGAGGAATGCAAAGGCTTTCCCCCCAATGAATTAGAGTCACCTACAGTAACTTCTGTTAACATTACATTGCTGTATCCTGGAAGCCTTATTATGAACATAAAGAAATTAAAAATATAAATTACCTCCTCTTTCAGTGCCCCACAGATGTTTTATTTTTCTATTAATCAGCCTCTGTAGGACCGATCAAAATCAGGCTGAAAACGCCGAGCACAATATCTCCCATTTTCCCTTAATTCTGTAAATCTAACCTCCATTCTTTCTTCTGCTCCCATACATATTCATTCCCTCTCTTTCCTTTTTTTTTTTTTCCCCTGGGTATACATTTTCTTTCTAAATTATTCCTCATTCATTCTATTTCTAATCTTTCTTCACCATGTATTCTGGTCTTTATTTGTCTCATGCTTTTCTCTATGTGAACCCCATTTTCATCATGGAAATCAGCGTAAAAGGGAGACACTTTGCTTCGTCATTTTTCATATACAAGTGCACAGAGTTCAAACTAGGAAAATTAGTAATAACAATTTATTTAATATAATTTCTTTAGTTCTTACTTTGAGTCTTGTGTAATTGTTTTTTGCCAATCAACAGTCTTGCAATTTTTCCCTTATCTCCTTGTTATTACATATACAGTACATAACCTTTGTACTTGCCATTACAGCTACTGAATAATTTGCACACAGAAAACCAGATACAGGCACAATTTGAGGAAAAAAAAAAAAAATCTCAAAACAGGATTATCCTTATAAGGTTTATATTTCATTATTTCTTTACATGAGTTTCTTTACATCAGGTTCTCTGATAATCCAAAACTGATGGAGTAGCCATTTGCTTACATCCGCTTTCTGGTGGATGCTAACTACCATATGACAAATACAAAAGAAACAGACTGTTTGTTAGTTGTCCATTTGTTAGCACAAGTTACTAAAGATTACGCTGTGCTAATTCACAGCCCCAGACCAGTGACTCTTAAGAGCTTTACCCTGGAAAACCCTCACAGTAATTATAACTGTTTCCTAAACAGCCCATGAGAACTCACCCTACCTTAGGAAGTACCTCACAGGAGAAGCCACTCACAATCCTAAACTCTAATCTGTGAAGTTTTGCAGTTCCCAGAAAACTAGACTGTCCTGTGGAGCTCAGACGGATGTGGTGGAGGTGCCTGAATGAAATAGTCTGATAACAGACTGAAATCCCTAATCCTGCAAGTCATTTAATTGCAGTGTTTCCTGTTCAGTTCTGCCATTTGCTCTTCACAAATCCAGTTATTTTCAGATGTATTTGTATTCTAAATAGTGCATGGTCTGATAGCGACATTGTCATAGCACTATTACATGCATGGATGCGTAACTGTTTCTATCCTTTCACAGTAAAGTTTTTATATAGAATTGGCTGTAAAACTCCACAACTGTGGTTTATTTATTTATTGTGGCAAAGCCTAATAATTCACATAGAACTGTGATTAATCAAAGGACCTTTATTATGAAAATAAATCCTAGTAAGAATGGCTTTGCCAGGCACTTTGCAATTAAAGATAAAACTATCCAGAAGCGAGAAATGTAACATGTAAATGGAATGAAGCTACAGAAATGGAAATTGTCATATGTGAGGTAGAAGAAAGACTCATAGAGCTTGAAGCACTGAAATTGAAGGGACACGATAATCTCTGTCCCTGTGTTCTGAAAGAACTGGCACATAAAATTGCATGTCCAGCAGCAAGGATTTTTAATAGAGCTGCCAACTGGTAGCATATTGCCAGTGAAAAGCAAACCTCTCGCCTGTATTTCAGAAAGGGGAAGAAAGGACAACCAGAACACATTAGAGTGACCTCTACAATATTCAAGGCTCTAGAAGGCATTTTTAAGAAAATGTCTACGTAAGTAGACATAAATGGAAAATGGGATAAAATGCAACTTAAGTTTACCAAAGGTAAAGCGGCTTGAGTGAATATACTTCTCTTGATTAAAACCACTGTTTTAATCAGTAGAATGTGTTGTAGGTACTATCCATTAGGCTTCTGAAAAGTAAGGATTTCACTGTGATTCTTAAAGGATCACTGTTGGAATCTGTCTTACTTAATTATTCCAGTAATGACTGTGACACAAAGAGAGTATGCTAATGAAATTTGTAGAAAGCAAACACTAAGAGATATTACTAATATAGAAGAGGATTAAAGGCTCATATAGGAAAGGAATAGATACTGTGACAACTGGAATAACAGAAATGGAATGAAATTTAACAGCATACAATGTATGTGTGAAAAGACAAGAGCAGGACCTCAGCACTTGGAAACCAAACAAGGAAGAGATCCATTAGTTGAAGACAGGCTACTTATGAGTCACTACTGTGAAGAAAGCTGTGGAAAAGCTAAACGCAATCCTAAAATGTTCCAGGTTTGGTATTGCTAGTAGATAGATGAAAATATTAAAACCATTGTACAAGGCATTCCCGAAATCTCATGTCAAATATTCATTTTTACTCTCCATGTTTGACTGATTGGACAGGTGAAAGAGACTGCTATAAAAATAGGAAAGCTTGTCTTAGTTGAGATAATGAAGATAGCTCAGCTTCTTTCCCCAGGCTTATTATCAAGTAAGTAGCAATCTATAATACTCACCAGTTCACCACTGCAGTACAGATTTGTACAGTACAGACATGTACAGATCTGCTATTAAAGAGCAAGGAAGCCTTTGGATGTCTTCCAGTAAATATTCTGTGAAAATTGCTGCTAACTGCAAATAACAGTAACTATCATTAACACTTCAACCTTTAAGAATACAGTGTGCTCAAAAAATACCAAACTTGCTTGGTTTTGCATAAGCTCTGAGGCAAAGAATGCTAAAATGAAATACAAATATTGTAAATATGCAATTTCAATGAACTGAGTAGATACCCGCTTTAGTCAGGAACACTTATCACGATGTGAATTTATTAATCCACTTTAGTATGTGTAGCCATGTCAGTGTTTATCAAAAGATAACTCTTCTGTTAAATATATATGAGAATGTTTACCATAGTATTGCAAAACAGCATGCTCCAGTTCAGCATTTTCAGACTCGTTATCCATGGAAAACAGGAGCCATATGTTAAGAGACTGGAGTCCTAATAAACTTTAAGACAACAGTAATGTTGTGTGTGAACTGATTAGAGTGTGAAATCTGTGGGCTCAATCTACTTTGAAAGCTCTTTCAGGAATAAAGACATTTCTGGTGGTAGAGGCTGAGGATGCCTGAGGTAAACCTCAGCACACCCTACAGCATGTTATGCCTAAGTGGGACACTGTGCATGAAACACACTCCTCGTGCTGGGGTCAAGGCAGGTGTACCTCGCCTCCTCCCAGAAATTCAACTGCTGTCCTCAGTTTAAATGTGCCACGGAAGTAATTTTAATAAGACTTTAACCCTCCAGTATTTTATTTTAAATAATAATGTGAGTGCTTGCTGGTGCTGTTACTTCAAAGATGAAGATACACACATAGAAAGACCACTATTGCTCAGCCAAAACTAGGGATCACTAACAGAGGTCATTTCTCACCATAGCAATGACTTCCCACCACTGCTGCCCTTCTATTTCCTTTTATTTCATATGTATATTACAGGCATGGAAATAAGCATAAGTCTAAAAGGTTTCAAGCAGCCACGTCACATCTGTGTACTGGATGGGTGAAGGCTGCATGGTCTGCTGCTGGGCATTCAGCTGCCCTTTCATTTCTTCCTGCTGTTGTTGAGAGCCTGAGTGTGTTTATGGCTGCCATGGCTGCCCAAAGCATGGAGCTTCAGAGAAGCTGGATCTGAGAGCAGAGCACCAGCCTGCTGCTGAGGAAAAAGCTAAAGAGGGGCTGCCCGGAAGAGCCACTGCCGTGTAGGTCAATCTTTCCAACAGCACAACCCTGCAGGAAAAGGCAACCTTTTGTGACAGTTCAGTCCCACAGCTCCAGGGAAACTGAAGAAATGATTCGGTGTCTTTTTCTATTTGTTTTCTGGAGTTGATCAAATTAAACTTTCTGACTTAAAATCAGTTTTGGTTTAGATTCAAAAGAAATACTGCTAACTACCTATGGTCTGATTCTTTTATTTTTATGCTTCATAATAACTTATCTTACAAATAGTTCCATTTATTGTGATGAAAGTCAGTCTATTTTTTTGCTCACAAATTATGAAATGCCAAGAAAATTTGTCTCTTTTGTTTCCTTTTTGCTTCCACAGTGAAAATACTTTAGTATGGCTTCACACCAGTGTCCTCTTATCATCGTATCTGCCAAAGCTGCTGGTCAGCCCTCTGCTACTTTCACATCTTCTTTGTCCATAACCTCTGATGTCACAGATGATTTACTGTCCACTCTTGAATAAGTGGACTCGTTTTGAACGTGCTGCATCAAGGAGGTAGAAGAGAAGGATGCCCTATCAATGCATTCATTTTATAGTCTATTCCATTTTGTTAGTGGACTTCAAGGTTCCAGTAGCCAGCAGAGGTATCTTATCAACACATTTCATGCTGGAAAGAGAAGGGCAAGTTGTCTTAACTTACCAAGAAAACAAGTCTGTCAGGGGAGGAGAGCTTTAATTCCTCAATTTGGAGACAGGCAGACATTCTTTCAACTCGTCTTTTTATGTTTATATTTTCAGAAGTCCTCTCCAGTGAAAATACCTCAAACATATGTACATTTACATATGGTGTACATATATATTCAAATAACCTGGGAAAATTCCATTGTTATTGTCTATAGGAGAATTTTAAGGAAATACATGGAAAAGCAGCAATGCTCCTGAACAGCATTCTTCACTACACCTGGCTGGAGTCAGCTAATGCAAATTCATCAGTGCTAGTGCTCGCTTCCTCTGCCCCACTACAAACCACAGTTTGACATATGGGGCTAAGAAGCCAGCAAGAAGCTTTTATCACCTCACTGGGAATCTATCAACTCCCAGAATCATGTCCAAAAAGCAGCTGATACGCTATTGGTATGAATACCAGAAACCAATTCCAGCGTGCATGCCAGAGCTTCATCGTCACTATTCTTGCCAGTTCTCTCTAAAAGGCAAATATTTTGATGATAGTCTCCATGCTATGCTGATAAGTAACCACTTGGTCATTTCATTTTCATTTGCTTCACTGATGTATCTGTAAAGAGTCCAAGCTGAAGAGAAAGAAATTATGGCAAACAGCTGGTTTTATTTATTTTGCGTTGTTTAAGCTACTTCAGATATTCTGAAATCTAATTCAGATGTGAGGTGGAGAAACACAGTTAGAAAACGTAGGATATATACCAGTGTTGACAATCACAAATGGAATCCTGCCCACAGCAAGTATACTTGATGTTTGTAGTAGTCTTTCAGCTGTCCCCTGCCTCATCCATCTATTAGCATTGCTTCAGGGTTGCTGACAAGGTAATATGACAATTTCAGCACAAAGTAGGTGCTAAGCAAAGATGACTCTAAACAGGCCACCTACTTACAGTGGTGAGCGTGACTGCTTCTGCCTGAAATCCTTTTTTGCTGTTTAGGAGAATTCAAATGTGATTTTGTGTTCTTTGTATCTAAGAGAGTATGACAAGAACTATAGCTGAGGGGAAGGAGAGTGAGGACATTGGATTAAAACTGTGTTTATTTCTCTAGGCAGAAGGCTGACTGACAAGCCTAGTGGTATCCAGGCTAAAACCCGCTAGATTTGGGGGCTTACTAAAGTAAAATGGTGGTGTAACTAAGGCATCCCTGCAGCTGCCAGAGCACTACAGAGTGGACTATTTGGTTTTCAGGGCTTTTTATGAATGCCTAAGAAGGTGACCTTCTAAAGAGACAAAAGATTTCTTCTGAAGGGATAATTATTCCATTTCTTAGACAGAGGAATA